GCAGCCGGTGCACTCGCTCAGGGCCTCCCGGCCGCAGTTGACACAGGACTGCTGCAAGAAGGACACAGGCCGGTCAGTGTCGTGGGGACGCCTCCCGCCAGTCAGCCCTGTGACACGTGCCCCCGCCCCCGGTGACGCCCAGACGCACCTTCCCATCACCCCCACAGCCAGCTTCTCTACCTAAGAGGGTCTGCACTCCTCGCCCGCGAGAGACACGGACACGGCAACGTGGGGCCTTTTCCAGCGTCCGAGGAATTTCATTTGTGCCAAGTAAGCGGGGGAAGCCCAGCCCGGGAGCGATCGAGTTCTCGGGCACTGGTAACATCTCCCGCGCCTGGGGCTTTCCCTTTGAGCTAACTGGGGACTTCTCACAGGAAGTGACCTGTCCACGGGTGGGCAGTGGTGTGGCCGGTGCGGCTGCCGTGCGGCCGTGGGCTCTCCTGCCAACTCTCTGGCCCAGGCCGGGGCACGGGGTCTGTGCAGGCCAGAGAGCGCGAGAACGTCCCAACGTCACTGACGGCAGCTCCGTGGGTCAGGGTGTGAGCGGCACCCCCGAAAGGCAGACGCGCCTCTTTGCACACGGAGCCCCGGCTCTGTGTGGATGAGCAGACCACAGCTAGCCTCCTGCAGAGTTCTGTTCTGAACTTCAGCTTCCTTCCTCACAAGGCGTTAGATTTACCACGTGTAACGTCTTTCCACTCATGAAACTGCCCGCAGTGTGTACTCGCGCACTTCCAGAAATATGAGCGTTAGCTGGAATCCGAGGTGCTCATTTAGTTTGCCCCTGCCTCTACTTCATAAGGCAAAATACATAAAGGAAAGAAAGAAGAGACAGTCTATAACCTCGTACAGAAATTTCTTCAGGGGAAGCAAGGGCTTCCCAGGGTTCACGGCGCCCTGAGTGGAAGCAGAGGTGCGGCTGGGTGTGGGGCCCTCGAAGAGAAGAGGCTCCGTGGGAGGGTGCCTGCACACACGGAGTGCACACCGGGGGAGCCTGCCTCACTGCCCTCGGGAGAGGCTTCATGCGGGAGAAGGCAGGGGGGCTCGAGTCCTCTCGCGGGACGTGTGTCCCTGCCAACAAGAGAGCACATGCTCATCTGGACCTTCCAGGTTTGCACTCCAAGCACCTAGCAGTGTCGGTAGGAGACTCTGAACTGAATCAAAATGTCACAGTGAACAGATGGAAAGGGGCCGGCGTCTCTAGCACTCGTGAGTGCTCTCAGCTCCTCAGCCTTCCCAAAGCACACTGTGGGAAAATTATTTTTTAACCAGAAATCACATTGTGGCTGGCACTAGAGTCCGACACCTCAGCTTCAGGTACAAAGACAGACGGACACATACAGAAACACCGAGCGCGGTCTGTACATGCGGGTTGTGAGTACACGGCTCCGTCCGTCCGCTCCGGGGCCCAGAAGCTACGACGCCCCAGTGGCGAGGAGCACGCCGGCCCCCGGAACTTGGTTCCCCAGACCGTCCTCCAGTGAAGGAACCAGGGCTCCTGGAGAAAAGGCTGATTCCAGGGCTGGGGCAGGAGACGCCCAGCTAGGTCTGGGGGGTGTCTAGCGCCAGAATGCACACCGAGGGGAGGATGCCAAAGGGACCCAGCAGCCAAGCAAGAGCTCCCAACGGGCAGAGGTGCAAAAATGTGAGCAAAATAAGGAACACGGGTCTAGGGTACAACTCAGAGTACAAAACACATGTAAATGAGCTCCTCCCAATATGAACAAACAAATGGATAGAAAACAATCTCTGGTGCAGACGAATTCCAAAAATACACCAGGATTCTGCACCCACCCTCCCTGTGCCCCCCAGGAGGGGGACAGGACTCACCCCCTCCCCAGGCTGTACCAGCACAGTAACTCCGTGTGCAAAGGGGAAAGTCATTTTTATGGAGAAACCTCTGAGCCTACATACTGCCTATGACCTGCCCCCCAAACGCCTATGCTAAGCCTTTGGGTATTGGGGCCCTTTAGGGTTAGATCAGGTCCTTAGGGTGGGGCCCCTGAGGGACTGGTGCCCTGAAGACACCAGAGAGCACTCTGTGCCCCAATGTGAGCACACGGTGAGAATGTGGGGGCCTGCAGCCTGGAAGAGGCCCCTCCGGGACCTGACCCTGCGAGCCTGCGGGCGCCCTGATTCAACCCCAGCCCAGATGACTGTCTGGGCTCCACTGCCCGCGTGTATCCCTCTTCCGCTGGCGCACTTCTGTGCCTTGCTATGCTTAGCTCTTAAAACCAAGGACGAGGCTAAGGAACGGTGAAGCAGCCGATGCCAGCCGGGGAGAAGCGTCAGCCAGGAGCCCGTGGCCATGGGCCCAGGACGAGGTCACAGGCTGGCGTCTGCTGGACACTATGCCCTTGACAGGGAAGGGCATCTACTCTTCTGCCCCGTTTGTTTAAGCTCTGCTGAGCTAATTACACGAATGCAAATGACTCATGATGAAAACTGCAAAAATCTGAATCACCTCAGCTGGGCTAAATTTAAATAAAATGTCAAAGCAGGCAGTCCTAGGCCTTCCCTCCCTCTGCTGCAAACAGCTGCATTCTCACTCAGCCCACCTCTTCCTGACTCCTGCGGCCTTCACTGGTTGTGTCTTGTCCCCTGACCCCCCAGCACTCTTGGGGAGATACTTTGGGAGGGGTTCTACCAGGATCTTCCCAAACAGCCAGCAGTGTTTGTTTTTCCAACCCTGAATGTGTTCCCACGCTGCAGTCACACTGAAGGGCCCCTTGTGATGGCACGGAAACTTGTGTTCTCTGTGGGTGGGAGCTCCGGGAAGGAAGATCTGTTTCACACTGGCCCATGTCAAACACTCCTGTCATGGCAAGTCCCACAACAAAGAGACACTTAGCGGTCTCCCCACGTAAAGCCTAGATGGCCCACAGCCCCGCCTGCCCCTCCTCCCACCTCACGGAACTCTGCCCCGTACCGTGGGCCACTCTTGTGGCTGGGACACGTGCTCTGGGCCTCCCCATCCACACACTGCTTGAGTGGGGGCCTTCCCGCCCTTCTGAGCCCCTCCAGGCCCCATAAGGTCCCTGAGAGCAGGCTCTCCACGGGGTCATGCAGGTGCGAGGCCCCCTTACTTCACAAGAGCCCAGCGTCCAGGCACGGCCATCACAGGGCCACAGAGGTCAGACCTGTCATCCCCCGTGTGTGGAACTGGGCTCTGCAAGCACACGTGATGTCACCAGGCTATCCACAGGGCAGGGCTCCATGAGTTTGGGCTGCGCGGTGCCTCCACCTGGCCTCCCCCATCAGGCGCTCAGCTCTCCACAAAATTATTTAAGAATGGCACGTCCTGGGGCACCTGGGTGGCTCAGTGCTTAAGCGCCTGCCTTCGGCTCAGGTCATGATCCCAGGGTCCTGGGATCGAGCCCCGCATCAGGCTCCCTGCTCAGCGGGAAGCCTGCTTCTCCCTCTCCCACTCACCCTGCTTGTGTTCCCTCTCTCGCTGTGTCTCTCTGTGTCAAATAAATAAATTCTTTTAAAAAAAAAAGAATGACATGTACTGTCTATGGCTCGAGAGAAAGGACAGACATGCCCATCACAGGTCCAGCCGATTTTGCAGGTGCAGGACACCGACAGACGATAGATGCGCTCAGTGGGGAAGACGCAGGCCCAGATGTGGCCCTCCCATTAAATCGCTTAACATTTTTCCACCCGACGGGATTTTAAGGATAAAGGCATTTCGTGTCCATTTCTTTCTTAAAAATACATAAAATTACAAATAAAATCCAAAGTCCTGCCTTGTGGGGGTGGTGACCTCACCAATTCAGCCACAGGCAAGAGACCGGCCCCTGTGTCATGGACTTTTCATAACAGGAATTCGGTTTCTGGATCCTTTGAGCATGAACCGAGAACGCGAATGCTCTTACATGTGAGAAATAAAACACTCGGCGGCCCCCACGCCAAGCTCTACGCCCCTGAACGTGGCCGCGACCCCTGGCACGGCAGAAGCTACCTCTGCTGTGTCTCCATGTGCTTTCACGTCTGTCCCACTTGTCACTGGAGAATTCTTACTAAGAGGAGGAAATACATCTACGTCACCTACAAATTCTACTCTGTGAAAGAAAAGCCCACATAAATTAGTGATGAGGGACGCCTGGGTGGCTCAGTCGGTTAAACATCTGCCTTCGGCTCAGGTCATGAACTCAGGGTCCTGTGATCGAGCCCCGTGTCAGGGCTCCTTGCTTGTTGGGAAGCCTGCTTTTCCCTCTCCCTCTGCCTGCCACTCCCTCTGCTTTGCTCTCTCTCTGTCAAATAAATAAATAAAATCTTAAAAAAAAAATTAGGATGAAAAATCTAAAACTAGAACACTCCCTCTGCTCATTTCCTTGCCAGCATGAAGCTGAGATTTCTGTCCGGCTGGTGCCACCTGAACCGGTCTGACGGGAGCTCTGTGTTCACAGGGAGGGGGTCCCAGCACCCCTGGCCAGAGGGGAGTGCGCAGAGCACAGGGTGACCCCAAACACTAGGTCCACAGCACAGAACCGTCCTGTGCCAACTACCAAGGGTGGGGCACCAACCAGGTCCTTGGCTGGGGGCCCACAATTCAGTGACCATTCTAAGTAAGAACACAAATGTCTGTTTTCCAGTCTATGCTTCTGCATACAATTTGAATTAGCAAAACGCAGACATTCCTTCCTTCTCATTCCCCAGACACTGCCTGGGCAGCTGTGGAGAGACATGCTCTCCTTCCCAGAAGGATGTTGCTGGACAGATGGAAGGACCAGCCGTGGAGCTGGCAGCTACCCCGTGTGTGGCCTGGGCCCCAGGACCCGGGGGAGGATGCCACAACTTTTCTTCACAGCTCAGATTCCCTCCTCACCCTTTAAAACGATCCCCCAGATCCATTTTAACTCTGCGGGAAAGATACCAGTGACACCCATTCAGCCATCTGAGCAGCTCCTGCAACCTTAATACGAGCCCCAGTGAATGACCATAACTTTAACCTTTTACAATCACACTGACTTTTTAAAAGTCCCTTTTTTTTTTTTTTTAAGTAGGCTCCATGCCCAGCGTGGAGCCGAACACCGGGCTTGAACTCATGACCCTGAGATCAAGACCTGAGCTGAGATCAAGAGTCAGACGCTTAACCGACTGAGCCATCCAGGTGCCCCTAAAAGTACTTTTTCTAAGCAAACACAAATACCCAATTTAAGAATGGGCATAGGGCCTGCAGAGACCCAGGTCTATCGTAGACATGCTGGTGGTCAAGCAGCTGGGCATCATCGAGCTGCTGAGGAGATGCATAGCACAGAGAGATACCCCCTCACACCCCCCAGGTGGCCGGAGCCTCACCATCTGCAGGACAATACCAAGACTTCAACAGATGGGAAGGAGCACACAGAGAAACGGGTCATTAAAAATAGTTAAAAAAGTAGTTATAAAAACAGTGACTGAAAATCTTCCAAACTGAATCAAAACCAACATGAAGATCTGAGCTTAACATGTTAACCGGGCCTCTTTACTTTCCATATACTGTTGCCTTGAAGGGTCTCCCTGGGGCCCTGGGGACACGGGAGGGTCTGCCCCAACTCGGCTGAGTCAGCTCCTGGACACACTGAACCTCTTGCCAGGAGGAGCGCCTTTCAACAGTGAGCCCTCTTCTCCAGAGCCCACATCCCCACCTCCTCCTCCACAGGCTTGCTCACACCACTGTGTCCCTGCCCAACTGAGCCGAGGTCAGGCCCCAACAACCCTGAACCCACTGACCAACCCTGAGCCTGCTCACCCGGCTGTGTCCGTTCCTTCCCACAGAAGCCACTTGCTCACATCTCCCCCTCACTCCCTCTGCCTCCCAACCCACCCAGGTGCTTCCCCGCATGGCTGAGTCTGGTCCGGCGTGCCTCCTGTTTCTAGGGAGCTGGGAGTGCTCACGTCTTCATCACGATGACCATCCCACCTCTGCATGTCTGACCACACCTCACAAAAACAAATGCCAGTGCTCTGAACACATCAGCACGCCTAGGCAGTTCACAGCCACATGACAAACACCAAAGACAAAGACAAGTTCCGGAAGCAGCCAGGGAGGGAGACCCGTTATGTGTAAGAGATCAAGGATCCTGCTGCAGGACGCAGGGGTGGCATCTTCAAAGAGCTGGGGACGACAGACGTCGAAAGCACTCCAGCTGTGCTTCAGAAGGAAAGGGGGCATGGTGGTGGTGCCGGATACACGAGGCACACCGTGCACCAAGAAATGCGGAGGCGCAGGGCCCAGCGGCACCGAGCACCCGCAACGGCTAACCAGAAGGTTCTGCACACGCGGAGCGCACGCCAGTGTGTGAAAGCAGTCTCAGTAAGTGTCCGAGCATCACTACAGAGCCTCTGACGGGAACGGGATTCGGTCTGAAACCACTGATGCTAAGAAATCTAGAAAATTCTCAAACATTTGAGAACCTAGCAGTCACTATCTCTGGGTAAAGAGATTAAGATTTTTTTTTCCTGCTTTTCTCTTTCCTATAAAATTCATTGATTATGTATTAACTTAAAATTACAGTTTTTTAAAAACTATTTTAAATGTATCTGCTTCTTCAGAAGAACCAACATTTTTCCTCCTTGGGAAAAAAATCATACGTTAAGAAATCATTTAAAAAATTAAGAACCCGAGGGGCGCCTGGGTGGCTCAGTTGGTTAAGCGACTGCCTTCGGCTCAGGTCATGATCCTGGAGTCCCGGGATCGAGTCCCGCATCG